GAATAGAATAGACTCGAATGATTTTTGGAACGAAGTTCATTATAGCACGGTACGAATTTGACCATAGAAAACAGAAAAACTGTCTTATTCCGTGTTCTGTGCATTTGACGGATGGGGGCCTAGGAGAGAAAAAGTGTAAGATTTTTCCGTCACGACCTCCTTTCTATAGTGCGAACGAGATGGAATAATATCCATCTCCCTTGCACGTTTTCTTATCTTGCCACGAAAGATATATTATTTTAAATGACGCTTCATTTTAATATACGCTAGTAATTCGTTTATTTGTATTTGTTAATCAATAATATAACACGTTTATCGATAATAATATACTCCAAAAGGAGCTTCGTTCCCACCGAGTGTTTCACGACACTCATGCATGTTTTTTATTCAATATATATATATATATATATATATATATATATATATACAAGTCCACTGTTGATAAACGCGAACACGATCCTGAACCACCTGCACCCATCGACTTCCTGTATATCTAAAACACTGGGGTTGTCAACCCGCCTGCCGAGCGTGGTGACTATGGCAAACATCCCCCAATATAAATATTATAATAAGATAATATTTTGAGTGTGTAAGAATATCTCATCTTTATGAAATATGATTTATCTTTATGAAAATAATATAATGTAAGTACACAAAAATAAAGGTAGTTATACAATAATAAGTGATATTCATTCTGTAAATACTAGGAAGAGAGAGAAGCTAGTTGTACCAGTTACTCGACTCCACCGAGTCAGTCACTCATTCTTGGGGCGATATATACGCTTTCACAACAAAATTCCAGCAGGGCTAGCATGGGCAAGAGACAATTTTATCCCCGGGGAAAGGAGAAAATATTTATCCCATCACTTAGTTTATTCACCCTTCGAGCATGGGCACACCGGTGGATATAATATCCTCAGTAGATAAGGAATTTATGGATGATAATAATCCCTGGAAATGAGGTGATCGCTACCAAACTATTTCAAATTTTTTTGTGTGGTTAATTGTGATTACATGATTGTAAGCTGTTATTTAAAAAAAAGTCGCGCTGGGTTTCTTGCTGGTTTTTACCAGGACAGAGGTTTTTTTTTCTAACCAGTGGTAATTAAATAAAAGAGTGACTCAATAACTATTATTTATAATCTATATTCAATAAAAAAGTTTTTGTTTCTGTTTCTGTTATCCACTACCCCGCGGGTCAATATGGACCCGCGGGTGTCGTAGGAGGCGACAGAGCAGCAGCGTCTATTAGGGAGGCCTATGTTCAACTTTGTATTGGTAATTAATATTTATAAGATATTTGTACTCGCAAGTTTCACTTATAACGCGGGAGAGTCTTAAGCATTGTTAAACGAGTAAGATGGACACGACGGAGTTACGAGTTGGTAAGACATGCAGGAAGTCTTTATACGTGGTAGAGCCATGCTGCAGCTATATTAGTGGTATAGTTGTAGCACGAATGGGTCGGCTCGACCGGGGAAGGACCACGCTCTCGCAGAAAACCAGCGTAAAATAGCAGCTTAACGCTGCTGTGTTTCGTATGGTGAGTGTAGAGAACCGGAGACCCTTTTTACTGGCAAAGAGGCATTCCATTTTAGTCTTCGCGGGTGACAACGCATCTGCATCTTGAGTCTTTATTGAGGATAGATGTAGATGTCTATGGGTGGCAGTGGCCACTTACCATCAGCTGGACTGTGTGCTCGTTTGTCACCCTATCCTATATAAAAAAAAGTCGATGGATGCAGATGGCTCAGAACCGTGCTTTATGGCATTCCTTGGGGGAGGCCTATGTTCAGTAGTGGACTTGTGAAGTGCTATAATAATGATGAAGAATGACATACAAACACATTGAGCGGTACATCGAACTAATTACTCCAAGAATCCCTAACAAATGAGGCCATTACATAGCTATGACGTATACGTTGTTTTACAGAATAAAAGTGACAAATATAATAAGAGTGACTGAGGCCCACAGACATCTCTATTTATCCTCAATTAAGAATCAAAATGCAGATGCTTTGTCACCCGTTAGGACTGAGATGTAGTGCCCCGCTTCCAGTTAAAAGGGTCTCCGGTTCTCTACACTCACCATTATCTATACATCTACACAGCAGCATTGAGCTGCTATTTTATGCTCGTTTTCTGTGAGAACGTTGTCCTACCCCGGTCGAGGTGACCCGTGCGTGCTACAACCGTAATATAGCTGCAGCGTGGCAGCATGGCATGGTATACAACGTTGAAGAAGCCTAGTATGCTGATTTTATGTCTAGTTGCCAATTTTATTGTCTAGGTTTTAATAAAGAAAACAATATTAGGTTTTTTTTTGCAGAAATAGAGTGACAAACGAGCACACAGTCCACCTGATGGTAAGTGGTTGCTATGGCCCATAGACATCTACATCTATCCTCGTTTGCGAATCAAAATGCAGATGCGTTATCATCCGTAAGGACTGAGATGGAATGCCTCGTTTCCAGTAAAAAGGGTCTCCGGTTCTCTACATACACCATACGAAACACAGCAGCATTGAGCTGCTATTTTATGCTGGTTTTCTGTGAGAACGTGGTCCATCCCCGGTCGAGCCAACCCATTCCTGCTACAACTATACTATAAATATAGCTGTAGCTTGGCTCTACCACGTATAAAAGGTAGGTGGTTGAGGTAGACCCTCATTTCTGTCCAGAAGTCCATTAGGGTTGGTAACACGCCCCTAACCATTTCGTTCACTAACTATTAATACTGTTCAAAAGTAAATGAAGCCATTATAAATACAGGCTCTGATGATTCATTATTTTAGTCCTCAGTTTAGTTCCCTTTAGTGTCAGTGCACCTGGTTAAGTTTGTGGGTTGCAGTGGCCACTTACCATCAAGTGTGCTATTAGCTTGCATATATCTGCTATTATTCTTTATACTAGCTGCTCCCGGCTACTTCGCCCGCGTGTCATTTGGGGTTTTAATGTATTTGCGTGGTACCCTAATACTTTTCGCAAAATAAAAGTAGCCTAAGTTATTTCTTATAACATCAGCTCTCGTATCTGCTAGTGAAAGCCCCTTCAAAATCGGTCCAGCCGTTTTGGAGATTAGCCGGAACAAACAGGCAGACCAACAAAATTAAAAAAAAATATATATTTTTGTTATAAGTACCGTATATACTTTCATATGCATTTAGTAAGAAGCTGTAATTTTGACATTACAAACAGACACTTCAATTTTATTTATTTGTATAGATGTACCTAGTCAGGTCATAAATATTGTCACACAGTAAAAACTTTTCTTTTAGAATGCTGGCCTCAAAAAAGTTTATTGAATTCGAATTTCAAATTGTTCATGAAAATAAAACTGTATACTTTTTAGAATTTTACTCATTTTTAAATATGGAGTGGACGCTTAAAGAAGACCGTGTTGCAGTTATTGCGTTGCATCGTTGCGGTTACGCGCCAATTCAAATTTTGACATACTGAAAAATTTGAATATAACCAAAAGATTCGTTTATCGTACCATCAAACGATACAATAAAGACTCTAGTGTAGATGACAGGTCAAGAAGTGGTCGCCCTCGGTCTGTTAGGACTCCAGCAGTGATAAAAGCTGTGAAGGCGCGAATTCAAAGAAATCCCAAACGTAAGCAGAAACTGTTGGACCTTCAGATGGGATTAAGCAGAACCACGGTGAAAAGGGTGTTAAATGAAGACTTAGGGCTTCGGGCATATCGAAGAAAAACAGGACATCGTTTGAATGCTCGTCTAATGGACCTGAGACTGAAGAGATGCCGCGCTTTGTTGAAGCGGTACGCGGGAAAAAAATATCGGGAAATTCTTGTTTCGGATGAAAAAATTTTTACCGTAGAAGAGAGCTACAACAAACAAAATGATAAGGTGTACGCACACAGTAGTGAAGAAGCGAGCAACCGTATTCCGCGTGTCCAACGAGGTCATTTTCCATCCTCGCTCATGGTATGGTTGGGAGTTTCTTATTGGGGCTTAACAGAGGTACATTTTTGTGAGAAAGGTGTAAAAACGAATGCAGTTGTGTATCAAAATACAGTCCTGACGAACCTTGTGGAACCTGTTTCTCATACCATGTTCAATAACAGGCACTGGGTATTCCAACAAGATTCGGCGCCAGCTCATAGAGCGAAGAGCACACAAGACTGGCTGGCGGCGCGTGAAATCGACTTCATCCGGCACGAAGACTGGCCCTCCTCCAGTCCAGATTTGAATCCGTTAGATTACAAGTTATGGCAACATTTGGAGGAAAAGGCGTGCTCAAAGCCTCATCCCAATTTGGAGTCACTCAAGACATCCTTGATTAAGGCAGCCGCCGATATTGACATGGACCTCGTTCGTGCTGCGATAGACGATTGGCCGCGCAGATTGAAGGCCTGTATTTAAAATCACGGAGGTCATTTTGAATAAACTTTAGTGTCATAAGAATCTATGTTTTGTTAAGTTTATTCTGGTATATAAATGGTTACATAATGAATAAACTTGTTTCAATTATTTTATATTAAACATGTGACAGAATTTATGACCTGACTAGGTATAGATTAATAAAATCGACGGTCTCGTTTGTCCATTAGTTGCGAACGTGACAGCTGATCATTACTCTGTGGCCAAAATAAGTTTTGGCTTTGTCTGTCAAGAAACCTTCAGTAGCAGCATTCGGGTAGAATCTACTAGTTAGTACGTGGTAGCAGCCGGGAGTGAGTCAGGATGTTAGTGGTGTTTCACCCCCGTGCATCGGAAAGCACGTAAAGCCGTTGGTCTTGCACCTGATATCTCAGGGTGTGTCGGATTATCATCCCATCGGACTATGGGAGTGAGGGAATAGAGAGTGCACCTGTGTTTACGCACACACTTGTGCACTATACTCCTGTCCTGCGTACATAGCTAGTCTCCATTGTGACTGGCCTTAATGACCGGAATTATAGCTGGAGGACATTATTATCAAAGAGTCCTGCCATGTGTCATACATGTGAAAAAAGTTTTTTATTCATACACTTACCTTAGAGAGTTTAGTATCGGGTGGTACGTTGGGTATGCACTCCCGCAGATCCGTGAAAGCCGTGTTGATACTCTGCGTGCGTCTCCTCTCTTTCTTGTTCGCCGTTGTTCTTCTCTTCACAACTCTTACGAAAGAAGAGGGAGACGGTCGTTCGTAGCGTAGGGGTAGAGTTTGCATCTCACAGTCCAATCCTGGGGACGAGTGAAATTTTTAGCACGCCATTGTTTACATCAAAAGTCGTGATATTAACACCGGATAAGTATTCCGCTGGAGACATTAAAATTGTTTATTGCAATAATTTTAGGAGTTGATTTTTTTTAATAGAATATGGGTGACAAACGAGCACACAGTCCACCTGATGTAAAGTGGTTGCTGTGAACCATAGACATCTACATTTATCCTTAATAAAGAATTAAAATGCAGATGCGTTGTCACCGTGAGGACTAAGATGGAATGTCTCGTTTCCAGTAAAAAGTGTCGTACTTACGAAAGACATTCTTACGATATTCTATACGTGGTAGAGCCATGCTGCAGCTATATTAGTAGTATAGTTGTAGCACGAATGGGTCGGCTCGACCGGGGAAGGACCACGCTCTCACAGAATACCAGCGTCAAATAGCAGCTTGACACTGCTGTGTTTCGTATGGTGAGTGTAGAGAACCAGAGGCCCTTTTGACAGGAAATGAGGCATTCCATCTTAGTCCTCACGGGTGACAACGCATCTGCATTTTGATTCGCAATCGAAGATAGATGTAGATGTCTATGAGCTACAGCAACAACTTACCATCAGGTGGACTGTGTGCTCGTTTGTCACCTCTATTCTATAAAGAAATACTAATTATATTATAGTCTCCGTACAGGTCAGCACCAGGACAATTATTTAATTAATTTATTTATTTACTAGCGACTCGCTCTGGCTTTGCTTGGATAGGAGTTATTTAGATTTCAGATAATCAAGGACCATTTTTTTTAAATCTTCAAGTTTTTCGAATTTAATATAGCCCAGATCCCTCCTGGCGTTGTTAACGCTATTCAGCCATTCTTAAGCATTATCCCGTATAGAAAGACTGACAGACACACACAGGTAAATTAAAAAAAAATGTTATTTATGTCGTAATTATTACATCCATTCTCAAGTCCACCGCTGAACATAGGGCTTTGCCAAGGGATGCCACAAAGCACAGTCCTGAACAAGCAACCATCGACTTCCTGCATGTCTTATCAGGTAGTCATTCAATCCCACACATCGCCTACCGGTACGAGGCTGCCACTCGAGAACCTTTCTTCCCCATCGGTTGTCAGTTCTTTGAACTATATGGCCGGCATATGTCGGTTACTCTGGTTCGTATCAAGTAATTATCAATGTTGGCCTTACCTGGGTTATTTTGTGGATAGTTGTGGTGCATTACGTTGTGGTGATAGGTGTCGTATGGTTCGTTGCCAACTATTTGAAGGTCATCGTAACCTGTAAAAAAGTACATTATTAGATGATTGTTGAATATTAATAATAATAAATAATAATAATAATAAATCTTTATTTCGGATAACAAATGAGATCCATATCAGAGATATTAGAAAAATCACTAAATAATAATAATAATACAGCTAGGTGGACGGAGGAAGTAAAATGACACGCACGCACGCACGCATTCACGAATGCACATACGCACGCAAGCGCAAACACACGCACACACACACACACACACGCACGCGCTCGCACGCACGCAGCCATACATACATACATACATATAATAATATATTAAATAGGAAATTTAGAAAACTAGTATTAAAGTTGGGAAGAGTTTTGCACGCTGGACAATTTTCAAACGACTTCAAAAAAGGAGAAGGTTCTCAATTCGTCGGTATCTTTTTTTTAATGTATCTTCACGGATTACTCAAAGACGCCTTAACCGATTTGGAAAATTATTTTTTTGTTTCAAAGTGTATACTTCCCAGGTAGACCGATTTAAATTTTATCGAAAACAGTCGAGGGGTTTTTCTACCGACTGCAAAAAGGAGACGGTACTCAATTCGACTGTATGTTTTTTTATGTGTGTTAACTCATAACTTTTTCATGAGTGAACCGATTTCGGTGATTTTTTGCACTTGAAAGCTGGTGCTTCTCATGTGGTCCCATGTAAATTTGATCAAGGTCCGACCAATAGTTATTGAGTTATTCTTAATAATTTATATTGAAGTCGTTTGTACAAAATTTTAAATTTACCACTTTTAGTGGAGACAGTTTTCGAGAACTAATCATCCCATTTTACAGCATCACGTCACTCATGCAATGAGGGCATCCACGACTTTTTCTGTCACCAGGGCGGCGCCACTTAAAAGTGAGGTATAAATATTTGACAGATTTCATAGCGGGGAAGTTAATTTGATAAAAAAATGTAAAGGTTAAGTTTCTTTCTGTACTATTAGCTATATTTTATATTAATTAGGTTAAAAATAAATAAACCGAACAACAGATATTCATACAAATAAGATAGCAAACCACTGACACATTGTTTTCTGTATTAATATAATACTCTAGAAACTGACAAACATTTATTAAAAACCAACTTATCAATTAAATTACATTGTGTAACAAAAAAACTTTACCTCAGTGACAACTAGCGACATCTGGTGAGCAGAAAATTATCAGCCATCATTAGATTATTTTATGTTTATGGTCTCTCATTAATTTTATCGCCTTATAGTGCCACCAACTTATCTGTTCAGGTGAACAAAATTGGAACTAAGGCCGCCATTTTGTAAATGACATTTCGCTGTCAGTTATTATTTATTCTGAGCTATCAGATGAGAGTTAAAAAGTGCAAATAAAATGCCTAAAGGTCTTAAAAGTGATGCGCGACAGATTATCCTGAAAGTTTTATCTTTTATGAAAGAAGAGAAACGTGTACAAGCCCCAACTATACCATTTGAAAAGCTGTATGAACGCGTTGCTGCCGCGACAGGTTTGTATTGCCAGATATGGAAAATTTAAATCACCAAATAATGTACTTGTGAAAAATAGTAACAAAATTATCTCAATCTACTGTAAAACTGTTGGAAAATCTAATGTTCTAATGCCCCAATTAATTGAAGATGCATTCCATAAAATTACACCGGTGTAGTGGAAAAACATTTGTAATCATGTGAAAAAAATTGAAAATAAATACAGACTAAAATACGCGTATTTAGATGAACCCTTTATTATAGAGTGTCAGAGCGATAGCGAAAGCGACTCCAGTGACTCAGAAGACGAATTATTGGAACCAGTAGTTAACGCGGGTACATCTTTCAAAACAGAAATTCTTGGAGTTCGGCCGCTTGAACTCCGAAATCGCGACCACAATTATTTTTATAAAATATAAATAATATATATAATAACACTAATTCTCACTAATTTTAATATATTAACACGAAATTTGTTTTATTTTATATTATGTGTAATGAATATGTAGTCACCTATTTCTTCGGTGAATTTCTTAAATGGCAATAGTAAGCACTCAACTAGCGACTCTGTCAACTGAACAGATAAGTTGGTGGCACTATACAAGCGTGGGAACTATGCCAAAATCCCCCTATGAGGCAATCTATGGAGGCCTATGTTCAGCTGTGGACGTTTATAGGCTGTAATGGATGGACGTATAGAAGATAAGTGGTTCTTTCAACAGTGGTAGAGCCACGCGGCAGCTTTTGCTGTCGCACGGATGGGCCGGCTCGAACCGGGGTGGTACCACGACCTCACAGAATACCAGGGTGAAGTAGAGGTTTACCTCTGCGTTTCGCTTGGTGAGTGCAGGTGGCCGGAGGCCCTTTTTACTGGAAATGAGGCATTCCATCTTGGTCCTCACGGGTGGCAACGCATCTGCATTTTGATTCACAAACGAGGATAGATGTAGATGTCTATGGGCCGCAGCTTCCACTTACCATCAGGTGGACTGTGTGCTCGTTTGTCACCCATATCCTATAAAAAAAAAGATAATCTACCAGGAGCACAGGACCCACTGAGAGGTGAAATTATTAAATTAACAGTAAGGCCGGCCACACACATACGGAATTCCGTTTCAGGATTCCGTTTCGGAATTCCGATTCGAGATTCCGAACGCAGCAAGTTCATATAAAATCTATGACACGTCACACACGTACGGTACTTTTCCGTTCGAAATTTTGCGGGCAAAACGAGAATCCGTGTGTGTGGCCGACCCGTTCGAAATTCCGAAACGGAATCCCAAAACGGAATTCCGTACGTATGTGGCCGGCCTAACATTACAACTATGGCAAATATCCATCTACGAGTCAATCTATGGGGAAGGCCTATGTTCACGTGATAAAGAAAGAAGATACTGACCGTAACTTCTGCCGATATAGTTGTTCGTGTCGTGATAAATGTCCTGCGTATCGAACTCGTGACCATCTCCACTCGAGCTCGGCCAGTACACCCCGCCGTCCATTGGACTACCTGCTAGCAGAAGAAAGATAAAGGATAGACACAAACTTATACAGGGTTATTTTTCAAAGAGTAGCCAAAGAACAATGGCAGAAAAATAATTGACAAAAATTATTGCGTCTAGAAATAAGTTATATATAAAATGAGTTTTATTATTTTTCTATGATTTTTCAAATAAAAATATATTTTAATTAAAGCCACAGAAAAAAAAAACATTTTTGGAAATATCAAATGACTTAAATCATTTTACTCTATTCAAGTGTTGCCATTTACTATATTCATACTATTTTCGTATACACTTTGTAAGACTATCAACACAACACACCAACACATAATATTTTTATATTAAGTTATTATTAGTAATAACTATACCATCAGTAATAATAAAAATAAAAGTGATATGGTTGAAAATAAGTCAAGCGACAAAGAACTTGCTAAAATAATACATTATCTCAATCATAGTAATATGTAACAATTCCATTTAATGTTATGGGAACACTAGCTAAAACAAAATGTCACTGTTTTTTTTATTAGCTTTACGGCTCTGGGTTCTAGCCCTTCTGATAATGTCACTGTATGACACAAAGCCATGCCAGAAATATACATTTCTAGTATGCAAATATATAATAGAGACACAATAATCTAAAAACTCTCAATTATGTAGGTAGGGCACATTATGTTGAAAATGTATCAAACATCAAACAACCACAAGACGCATGACTTTTTCCAAGTGACATAAGTCATAACCTAAATATCTTCTAAATATCTTTTTTTTTGACGCCTTCGCAGGACAAAATTCTTTGACAGAGTTATTAAGGGACTGACGCTTAACATTTTAAGATATTTTTGATATATAGACGCTACCATTCCTTCTCAACTAATTTTATCGCTTAACATTTTAAGGTATTTTTGATATATATAGACGCTACCATTCCCTCTCAACTAATTTTATGTATGAAAGTCTGCCATTGTTCTTTTAAACTTAAGTTCAGATATATAAATAATGATATACCGTTATTGCAGGTTATGAAAATAGGAATAAATAAGGCTTCTACTTTTATTTGAAATAATCCCAAATTGAATGTGATTTATGTGTAACAACATTTTTACCTACCGATCGATTCGTAAGGACGAATGTGTGAGTGCGCAGTAAAATCAGGTAAAATAATTCATTACCACATATTTTGAATTTAAAGATAAAAAGGACAGAATTTTTGAGATTATTCTTAATTAATATTTCTTCACCATTTGCATATATTACTTATTCTGAAATTTCTCTGAAAATTTGGCCGGTTATTGCATAATAAACCTGTATAATCTAAGTCTATGAAGATGTGGCTGTACAAAAATCTTTCTCTAACGCGAATATTATACAAGTAATAAAACAAACTTTATGGATTATTATATTTTTTTAAAAGTTGTAATTAAACGTGATATATTCAAAGGCTGTAGAACGAGCTCCATTACGGCGTATCATGAAATTATATACGAGGGTGACAATGTAAGTTCTTAGAAAATAAAAAACTGAACAAACTAACAGGTTATTTATTTATTATATATTTTCAAAATAGTGACCATTTACATCAATACATCGCTGTATCCGATGGAACCATTGAGAAAAAAGCACTTTGCCCACACGTTCTTAGGGGTCCTCTCGACGGCATTTTGTAACGCAGCCACTGCTTCCTCGGCGTCCATAAAACGTTTTCCTCGAAGTTTTTCTTTTATTTTCGGAAATAAATAAAAATCGCAAGGTGCGACGTCGGGGCTATAGGGCCCAGTAATTCCACGTCTGACGTCGCCAAGTAGTTGATTGTTTGCTTGGCGGTGTGCGACGAGGCGTTGTCGTGGTGAAGGAGGATCTACTGCGAGGAGAAACGTCTCCTGAACTTTTTCTTCCTAGACAAGTGGCAAACAATTGCTATTGTACCACTCTTCAGTAACTGTTTTTCGATCTTCTAAAACAATTGTTGCGTAATGATCTGTCCTACCGAAGAACGAGGCCACCATCTTTTTTCCCACGCTTCGACCTCTCTTCACCTTAATCGGCAACTTCTCGGAAGGAAACACCCAGACAGCAGGTTGACTCTTAGTTTCAGGATCATAACAATAAATCCAGCTTTCGTCACCCGTATGTATGTCGGACACAGCATTTGAGTCACCTCCGTCAAATCTTTGAGACTTTCGATTTATTTTTATTTTTTATCTTAATTTCTTTTGGACAACAAACAATTCGCCGCAAACGCCGCAAAGGGTCGATCCTCAATTTTTCAAAAAATTACAGGAGAGCAAGAAAACATTTATTATTTATTATTCCCCGATTACTAGCTTTCTTAATCAGAAAATTAAACATGTTAGACTTAATGGAAAACTACTAATAAGATTATTATTTGTAGTTGTATTTGTATTTTAATTGTTTTCACTGCGCACGCACACATTCGTAAGGGTAGCTCTGTAGGCGAAAACGTTGTTGCCCATAAATCACATTCAAATACAAATCACACAATTTAGGATAATTTCAAATAAAAGTAGAAGCCTTATTTACTCGTATTTTCAAAAACTGCAATAACGGTATATCGTTATTTATATATTTGAACTTAAGTTTAAAATTTGGCTACTCTTTGAAAAATAACCTTATAAGGTAATTAATGGGGGAGGTCTATTTTTTAATATAGGATGGGGTGACAAACGAGCACACAGTCCACCTGATGGTAAGTGGTTGCTGTGGCCCATAGACATCTACATCTATCCCCGATTAAGATTCACAATGCAGATGCGTTGCCACTCATGAGGACTAAGATGGAATGCCTCTTTGCCAGTAAAAAGGGTCTCCGGTTCTCTACACTCACCATACGAAACAGCAGTGTTAAGCTGTTATTTTACGCTGGTATTCTGTGAGAGCGTGGTCCTACCGCGGTCAGGCCGACCCATTATACTATTAATATAGCTGCAGCATGGCTCTACCACGTATAAAATGTTCAGCAGTGAACTTTTGAGAGGTAGTAAAGGATAACAAGCAGCATCTCTGTATAAAATCTAGCTCGAATATACCTTGGTTACTTCAGTCCATCACACCTTGAGCGGGAGCTGCGTGGTCTACCGAGTAAATAACAGTACTAACCATGATGTGGCGGCTGACAGTAGAAGGGCGGTTCGTATCTATCAAAGCCCTCGTCAGAAGGCGACATGCTGCCGTAGCTTGACATTGGACCTGTTGACAAACATAAAATTAAAATAAATGAAATAACGTTTGTTAGCAACCAAATATTAAACAAAGGTGCTCTGTTTCCTGAATTAGGTCATCACCCGTATTTGAGGAAATAGTGCCTTCCCTAATTCTTAGTTCTAGTTCTATGTTCGGTAAGTACATAAGATGATTCATTATTCTTCACTTTTATTAGCTCGATCCGTATGAATGGAATGGAAGTTTAATTTTTTTTTTATAGGATAGGGTGACAAACGAGCACACAGTCCACCCGATGGTAAGTGGTTGCTGCGGCCCATAGACATCTACATCTATCTATTACAAATCAAAATGTAGATGCGTTGTCACCCGTGAGGACTAAGATGGAATGTCTCGTGTCCAGTAAAAAGGGTCTCCGGTTCTCTACACTCACTGTACGAAACACAGCAGCATTAAGCTGCTATTTTACGCTGGTATTCTGTGAGAGCGTGGCCCTTCGCCGGTCGAGCCAACCCATTCGCGCTACAACCATAATATAGCTGCAGCGTGGCTCTACCACGTAAAACAAGAATTCAACCACTATACGTAGGTCATTTCATTACTATAAATATGTACCAGGATAACATAAACCTAAGGAAGCTTGTATCCACAATCTCATTCGAGCCTCGGTAGTACTAATGTAAACAATTGTGTCGACGCGTCTGTCCGTCAAAACGTGCACACCATGTGTTTGTAACACATTGTCATATCACTGTTTAATTGGTAGGAATTGTTACTGTCTAATAAGTTTCAAAACAATTTAATTTTAAGTATATATCCTACTTTATATTGTTATATACGTTTACGTATTTCTTTTTATAGAATTAGGGTAACAACGAACACTCAGTCCATCTGATGGTAAGTGCTGTGGCTCATAGACTACATTTATCCTCGATTAAGAATCATTCACAGATGGAATACCTCGTTGCCAGTGAATAAGGGTCAGTATTTCATATGGTTAGTGTACAGAACTGTAGATCCTTTTTATTAGAAACGAGTTTTTGTTTTTCGTTTCGAGTTATTCCATCTCAGTCCTCAGTGGTGACAACGCATCTGTATTTTGATTCTGTCTATGGGCCGCAGCATCCACTTACCATCAGATAGACTGTGTGCTCGTTTGTCACCCTTATTCTATACCTAGTCAGGTCATAAATTCTGTCACATGTTTAATATAAAATAATTGAAACAAGTTTATTCATTATGTAACCATTTATATACCAAAATGAACTTAACAAAACATAGATTCTTATGACACTAAAGTTTATTCAAAATGACCTCCGTGATTTTGAATACAGGCCTTCAATCTGCGCGGCCAGTCGTCTATCGCAGCACGAACGAGGTCCATGTCAATATCGACGCCTGCCTTAATCAAGGATGTCTTGAGTGACTCCAAATTGGGATGAGGCTTTGAGCACGCCTTTTCTTCCAAGTGTTGCCATATCTTGTAATCTAACGGATTCAAATCTGGACTGGAGGAGGGTCAGTCTTCGTGCCGGATGAAGTCGATTTCACGCGCCGCCAGCCAGTCTTGTGTGCTCTTCGCTCTATGAGCTGGCGCCGAATCTTGTTGGAATTCCCAGTGCCTGTTATTGAACATGGTATGAGAAACAGGTTCCACAAGGTTCATCAGGACTGTATTTTGATACACAACTGCATTCGTTTTTACACCTTTCTCACAAAAATGTACCTCTGTTAAGCCCTAATAAGAAACTCCCAACCATGCCATGAGCGAGGATGGAAAATGACCTCGTTGGACACGCGGAATACGGTTGCTCGCTTCTTCACTACTGTGTGCGTACACGTTGTCATTTTGTTTGTTGTAGCTCTCTTCTACGGTAAAAATTTTTTCATCCGAAAAAAGAATTTCCCGATATTTTTTTCCCGCGTACCGCTTCAACAAAGCGCGGCATCTCTTCAGTCTCAGGTCCATTAGACGAGCATTCAAACGATGTCCTGTTTTTCTTCGATATGCCCGAAGCCCTAAGTCTTCATTTAACACCCTTTTCACCGTGGTTCTGCTTAACCCCATCTGAAGGGCCAACCGTTCCTGCTTACGTTTGGGATTTCTTTGAATTCGCGCCTTCACAGCTTTTATCACTGCTGGAGTCCTAACAGACCGAGGGCGACCACTTCTTGACCTGTCATCTACACTAGAGTCTTCATTGTATCGTTTGATGGTACGATAAACGAATCTTTTGGTTATATTCAAATTTTTCAGTATGTCAAAAATTTGAATTGGCGCGTAACCGCAACGATGCAACGCAATAACTGCAACACGGTCTTCTTTAAGCGTCCACTCCATATTTAAAAATGAGTAAAATTCTAAAAAGTATACAATTTTATTTTCATGAACGATTCGAAATTCGAATTCAATAAACTTTTTTGTGGCCAGCATTCTAAAAGAAAAGTTTTTACTGTGTGACAATACTTATGACCTGACTAGGTATAAAAAAGACGGCAGCCTACATTTCACTTCAATTTCCAGCGGTTGTAGCTATAGAGTATCTTGGATCACTGAGGTAACATTAAAAACTCGCTAAGAATCCTCGAGAAGCTGTAGTGATTCGAATTAGTTAAATTTACTGTCTTCACGCAAAATAAGCGCCTAGACGTGGAATTGCGGATGCTAGCCCGGCTTAATCCGGCAATTCTCAGACAGCGTAAGACAATAAATCACCGAATTGTATCCCGTGGTAGCGAGTTTTTTTACATGATAGGGCCACGCTGCATCTTTATACGGCTACTTAATAGAATCAGGCTTTACTTTGCGGAAATCCATTACATTAAATAACTTAATGAATTTATTACTATGGGATTTCACGCGTTTTAAATATTTTGCACGAAACCCTAATTCTTTTATAATATCAGCTATCCGACAGTGAAAGTCCCGTCACAATCAGTCTAGCCATTTCAGAGATTAGCCGGATCAAACAGACAGACAGACAAAAATTTTAAAAGTGTATTTTTGTTATATATATGTTACATTTATTAAAAAAACTGGTTTTTGACATTACAAACGAACGTTCAATTTTATTTATTTGTATACTTAGATATTAAAAATTATCATGCTAAAATCTGCAAGATAAAATAAAATGATGTGTCTTATCTAGTTTGAAAAGCACCTCTTGCCCTCCCTCAATTGCGTGCACTAACGCCGTCACCACTAATCCCAGCACCACTACTCCCAACACCACTCCACTAGAAAATGCATATATGGTAGAGCCATGCTGCAGCTATTAGTAGTATAGTTGTAACACGAATGGGTCGGCTCGACCGGGAAAGGACCACGCTCTCACAGAAAACCAGCGTAAAATAGCAGCTTAACGCTGCTGTGTTTCGTATGGTGAGTGTAGAGAACCGGAGACCGGGTGACAACGCATCTGCATCTTGAGTCTTTATTGAGGATAGATGTAGATGTCTATGGGTCACAGTAACCACTTACCATCAGGTGGACTGTGTGCTCGTTTGTCACCCGATCCTATAAAAAAAAAAAACACACTACCGTTGATAATACTTCACGTGTTTCGCCCTTTAAGCCATTTTCACGTGAAGTAGACTACGGTGGCTGTGCCCTTCAAACTAGTTAACACACATTTTATTTTGTTATCTACGCGGATCTTAGTTAATTAGTTTATAACATCTCAAAGCGACGCAGTTTTCCCGCTTCAGCTATATACAAGGTTATTTTTCAAAGAGTAGTCAAATTTTAAACAAAGTTCAAATATATATAAATAGTTAATATTTAATATATAATTAATAAATAACGATATAAAGTTATTGCTGTTTTTTGAAAGTATAAGGCTTCTAATTTTATTTGAAATTATCCCAAATTGAATGTGATTTATGGGCAACTACGCGTACGCACGCTCCTCTGTGTGCGATTCAATTCACAATGTTTTTGCAGCTCCGCGATTTTAGCACCTCATGTGCGGAATTTCGATTGACCAATTATACCATCTGAAAGGTCAGAAATTGTTCATAAAAGATCAGTTTATCTTGTTAAATATCTTGTTTTCTCAAAAAAGAAATATAAAAAAACAATTCCCCCACTCCGTCTGGTTCACAGTAAAGAGCTGTGCGTAAGTGCTCACTGTCCTGATACAATTAACCGTCCCAAAGCATGCGCGTTACGACAATGACAAGTTATTTAATTATTTTTAATATTAAATTAAACTGACCACATATTTATATAAGCTGCCCAATTATCAGCGAATGCTTTTCGATCGAGCATAGGTGGAATTTTTTATTTTTTTCGCGAATGAGATGCTAAAATTTCTCAATGACCTTGAAAACTTTTTTTTTATAGGATCGGGTGACTAACGAGCACACAGTCCACCTGATGGTAAGTGGTTGCTGTGACCCATAGACATCTACATCTATCCTCAATAAAGACTCAAGATGCAGATGCATTGTCACCCGTGAGGACTAAGATGGAATGTCTCTTTGCCAGTAAAAAGCGTTTCCGGTTCTCTACACTCACCATACGAAACACAGCAGCGTTAAGCTGCTATTTTACGCTGGATTTCTGTGAGAGCGTGGTCCTTCCCCGGTCGAGCCGACCCATTCGTGCTACAACCATAATATAGCTGCAGCATGGCTCTACCAAGTAGAAAACTTTAAGCCTCAATAAAAAAAAATCTAACGCTGACTAATTAATAAGACTAACTGACCTTTTATGAACAATTTCTGACTTTTCAGATGGTATAATTGGTCAATCGAAAGTCCGCACATGAGGTGTTAAGATCGCGGAGCTTGTTTTTGGCTGCCGATCGACCCTTACGAATGTGTGCGTGCGCAGTAATACCACGCATTTTGAATTTAAAAGATAAAAAGGACAGAGTATTTGAGATTTTCTTTTAATGAATTTATCTTCACCATTTGCCTATATTACTTATTTTGATCCTTCTCTGCAGATTTGGCCGGTTATTGCAAAATAACCCTGTATATATATTTTAATTATATATTTTAACAGTGGTAGAGCCA